ATTTTGGTTACAAACATGTTTCACTCATCGGAAACAGGGATCATGCCGGTTGTTTGAATGACTTTTAACTGTAGGATTTAACTGGAACAATATATTTAACTGCCATCTTTCATACTGTGATAAGTGTCAGCTCAATAATATGCCATGTTTAATGAAAATGTTGGTACCAACTGGATCCAATGTTTATTCGAGAAAATGTATAAAAAATAATGTAACATAAAAACAAAATAAAAATAAGTTGTTTTGTCTTGAAACTGCTTATATTGTTTGACAGTCAGCCAAAATATGAGAACTAGACCAATATATCAGCCAGGCAGATATATCAGCCAATATCAGCTTAGTGCAGATTTATGTATCAGTATCAATGGATATGTCGGCCAAAAAGTAATAAAAGACTGCAAGACAGAGATGCCAAACAGTGTTTCCACTACGCACTTGAGTGACTTGATACGTTGATTTTTACACAGTAAAATGCCCCACTCAGTAAGGCTTTACAATATAGAGAAAATCAAATATCACAATTTTTTTTTTTACCAAATAGCTTGATATCAATATGCCTATGATATTGTAAGCTTGACAAATGGTGCTTTAACAAAATATTTACACAATGAGAATTTTGACAAATAATCATTAGTAATGTGGATATAATGACTATGTGGCAAATGGCAATTAATAACACATCATGAGCAGTCTGGGAAGTTTAGGAAATTACATCACTTTACTAAAATGCAGCCTTTAAAAACCAGACCGATACTGTGATACCCAAAGTCTAAGTAGATATTTAGTCTCATATCACAATATCTATATAATATTGATAAATTGCCCGCCCTACTGCTCAATTTCTTGGTCACAATAAAAAATAAATACTAATGATAACAAATCTGGATTATCTACAAAATTGTTTGTTTATACAGTACAGGCCAAAAGTTTGGACACACCTTCTCATTCAATGCGTTTTCTTTATTTTCATGACTATTTACATTGTAGATTCTCACTGAAGGCATCAAAACTATAAATGAACACATGTGGAGTTATGTACTTAACAAAAAAAGGTGAAATAACTGAAAACATGTTTTATATTCTAGTTTCTTCAAAATAGCCACCCTTTGCTCTGATTACTGCTTTGCACACTCTTGGCATTCTCTCCATGAGCTTCAAGAGGTAGTCACCTGAAATGGTTTCCACTTCACAGGTGTGCCTTATCAGGGTTAATTAGTGGAATTTCTTGCTTTATCAATGGGGTTGGGACCATCAGTTGTGTTGTGCAGAAGTCAGGTTAATACACAGCCGACAGCCGTATATTATGGCAAGCACCAATCAGCTAACTAAAGAAAAACGAGTGGCCATCATTACTTTAAGAAATGAAGGTCAGTCAGTCCGGAAAATTGCAAAAACTTTAAATGTGTCCCCAAGTGGAGTCGCAAAAACCATCAAGCGCTACAACGAAACTGGCACACATGAGGACCGACCCAGGAAAGGAAGACCAAGAGTCACCTCTGCTTCTGAGGATAAGTTCATCCGAGTCACCAGCCTCAGAAATCGCAAGTTAACAGCAGCTCAGATCAGAGACCAGATGAATGCCACACAGAGTTCTAGCAGCAGACCCATCTCTAGAACAACTGTTAAGAGGAGACTGCGCCAATCAGGCCTTCATGGTCAAATAGCTGCTAGGAAACCACTGCTAAGGAGAGGCAACAAGCAGAAGAGATTTGTTTGGGCCAAGAAACACAAGGAATGGACATTAGACCAGTGGAAATCTGTGCTTTGGTCTGATGAGTCCAAATTTGAGATCTTTGGTTCCAACCGCCGTGTCTTTGTGAGACGCAGAAAAGGTGAACGGATGGATTCCACATGCCTGGTTCCCACTGTGAAGCATGGAGGAGGAGGTGTGATGGTGTGGGAGTGTTTTGCTGGTGACACTGTTGGGGATTTATTCAAAATTGAAGGCACACTGAACCAGCATGGCTACCACAGCATCCTGCAGCGACATGCCATCCCATCCGGTTTGCGTTTAGTTGGACGATCATTTATTTTTCAACAGGACAATGACCCCAAACACACCTCCAGGCTGTGTAAGGGCTATTTGACCAAGAAGGAGAGTGATGGAGTGCTGCGGCAGATGACCTGGCCTCCACAGTCACCGGACCTGAACCCAATCCAGATGGTTTGGGGTGAGCTGGACCGCAGAGTGAAGGCAAAGGGGCCAACAAGTGCTAAACACCTCTGGGAACTCCTTCAAGACTGTTGGAAAACCATTTCAGGTGACTACCTCTTGAAGCTCATGGAGAGAATGCCAAGAGTGTGCAAAGCAGTAATCAGAGCAAAGGGTGGCTATTTTGAAGAAACTAGAATATAAAACATGTTTTCAGTTATTTCACCTTTTTTTGTTAAGTACATAACTCCACATGTGTTCATTCATAGTTTTGATGCCTTCAGTGAGAATCTACAATGTAAATAGTCATGAAAATAAAGAAAACGCATTGAATGAGAAGGTGTGTCCAAACTTTTGGCCTGTACTGTATGTGTTTATGTTTTTAAAAGTTGCTATTGTCCAACATACTTTTAGTTGATTTTTTTAATTGCCAAATATCAGTATCTGCCTCAAAAATCGGTTTAAGATAGGCTTTACGGGCAACTCAAAGGTTTTCAGAGTGCAATGATATCAAACACCAGAGAGCATGAAGTCTTAAAATTCAATGAAAATGCAAACCGGACATGTTGGGTATTTTACGTACTACATGATCAGCCCTTATAGGCCATGTCTTGAAAATAGGCCTGTGTCAAAATCTAGTTTAAAGTCTGTGATACTGTGTTTAAAGTCCCCATGAAAGAGCTAGCTGAGTGCTATGTGATTCCACATATTTATGTGTTTCCTGTAAAAACAGGAAGGAGGGAAGGGAGGGATTTCTTGCAGTAGTCAATTGAAATGTAGTAGCCAATCTGGTGTTACATGCAAACATGAACGTAGCTAGGCCAAAATGGCCACGCTAATGGTGCAAACGTGGCAAAAGCTAACAGAGCTAACAATGTTAATGGAAGTTAGCTCACACTCACCGGGGTGACCTGGCCGAGGGGGAGAACTGGAGGGAAGATGGATGTTACACTTCTGCAACGATGCCATCCCACCACCATAGCTCAGAACGGCATTATGACAGGTAACGTAAGGAGTTAGCACAACCAAAACCACAACGTACGATGCATGACTGCAAGCTAGCTCGTAGGTCCTATGCGCAAGTAGGTAACAGGCAAAATTTATGGTGATGGAGGACAGACATGAAAATTCGATAAAGTGTGTCACTGGATGCAAAATTAGACTACATCCCTGAGTGTGGGATGAGTCATCACCATTTTTTAACCCCTTTTGAAGAAATGATAAAAGAATTGCTACTAACCCTAACTTCTTTTGTCCTTGCTGGGCCAGATCAGTGCAAGACATATGTGAGTAAAACTTAAAGGGAGAGTTCACCCTGAAATCAAAGGTGCATATTTTTTTCTTTTATCTCTAGCACTGCTTATCAGTCTAGGTTGTGGTGTGAGCTGCCGAAAGTTTGAGAAATCAGCTATAAGATGTCTGCCTTCCCTCCAATGTAATGGAACTAGATGGCACTCAGCCTGTGGTGCTCAAAGTGGCAAAAGAAAAAATAAATAAATTTGGAAAACTCAACAGCAGTGTCTCTTTTCAAAAATCATTTCCCATTTTCTCAAGATAATCCACAGACCTTGCTGTGAGCAGTTTCTACTTAACTACACCCCCTAACTTCATCACCACACAAAGGAAGTGTGCATCTACTCATGGACAAGAGGCTTGTGCTTGTGACAACATGACATGTAAACAGTAATGGCATCCTCCTCGGCTGAGCTGTAACATCAGCTAGCTAAGTGGTGCTAGGTGACCTAGCAGTAGATGCACACCTTGGCTTGGTGAAATGGTTGGCTGGTGGAGAGAAAATAGTCCCTCATGAAACTGCTCACAACAAGGTCTGTGGATTATCTTGAGTGACCAGGTCATTATATCTGGAAAGAGACATTGCTGTTGATTTTTTTCTGATGTATTTTTGTGGCACTTTGAGCACCACAAGCTGAGTGCCATCTAGTTTTACCATACTGGAGAGAAGGCAGACATCTCTACAACCGATATCTCCAACACTGCAACTCACACCAAAACAAACTAGACTGATAAGTAGTACCACAGATAAGAGGAAAAAATATCTAGTTTTGATTTGGGGGTGAACCGTCCCTTTAAACATCTATTTTGATGTCATGACATCTTTAAATGGTACACATACCTTAATTTATCAGTGGGCCATGTGTTACTCAATCATAGAGAACACTGTAGACATGTCCAGAGTACAGAAAGAACAGAAAGGTTACTAGGGGCCAACCAGCTCATTTTTGCACCCTAGCAGGTGCATCTAGCCATGGACATTAGGCCTATATGGATGCAGAAGTGATTGGTCCCTGGAAACAGAGTAAAGGCTTCCTCCATGGAAGAAAGCAATAAATGAACCCTTGATGGAAGATATAGGACCTTAAAGAAACAGCTCTGAGTGCCCCTCTTCACCTCTTCCTGTCTCATGCTGAGTGCTTACTGACAAGCCCATGAAATGATTATGTCATTATTTGCAGTTGCAGGGTCAGGCGCGCACCACTTAAAGTACCATCTCAGACCTGAGAACACTGGGGGACAACACAGCACGTACTGCTGTTCAGCGTCATGATTAACATGCGCCCCTCTTCTGCAAAATAGCATGACAACAAGCAGTCTGTAGCCACAGGCCGATCAGACCCACTCACACACACAGACGGAATTTGCTCCCATAAATGCAAGAAAATAGCTCGATGCCCTTGTTCGCCCTTTGGTCAAATGCACAATCACCACACAGCAGCCTAATTGATTTTCGTATGATAAATGTCACATCCCGGCCGTGTTGGTGTCTGATGACACACTGCTGTTCCTGCAACTTTAGCCTCTTAAACTGACTTGTTTATTTCATCCTTACCTTTCCGGATCAGGTCTTCGATTTCTTGGTCGAAGCCCAGCCGATGGCATTTCCTCCACAGCCCCATGTTGGTTGAGTTATACTGCCTGCTGCACTCATCCGCGGCGCTCATGGCGAACAGCTGCCGCCGGTTCCGGGCCAGCAGCAGCTTCTCCTCCCAGCGGGGAAGGCTGCTCCGGCTGGCCCGCAGCGGCAGGCTGTTGTTGGGGATGTAGATGAAGCCCGGGTCCTTGCGGCGGCTGGAAAAGCTTCGGCACCGCTCCCTGTACCTCCTGGCGTCAGTCTCGTACCAGTGGTCGGAGCACATCGCCACGGCCAGCATGCCCAGGGCGCAGAGAGAAAGAGAGAGCCCGGCGTAGAGCAGTAACTTCCCGGCAGCCATGCTCGCTTCTGTCACAGCCGCATCCGCACCTCGACAGACGGACAGCTCCTCTGCGGCTTCCCCGCCAGTTCAGCTCACATCACCTCTGGAGAGCAGCGTCGGGACCATTATCGAAGTGGCGGTTATGTGCAAAGAGGAGACGAGTCTTTCCAATAGCAGCTCACTGGTGGAATAAAATGTTAAATCCTTGTATCCCGGTGCTCCGAAGTGACAACGTCTTTCCTGCGTGCTCGGCGTTGCAGCAGCTCGGCGGAGACAGAGGACGCTTATCTCATCTCAGCCCCGGATCCTCAGCATCCATCCGTCTGAGCAGGGCGACACCAACATGCACATCAGCACAGCATGCACATCTCTAGTCAAACATAGGCTAGCCTATATTTCACACAGCATGCATCATTACTGCACAACCCACATGAAATGAAACGATGGACAAAGAGAGAAGAAGGGAGCAGAGAAAGCTGTAGAAACAGCCAGAGAGAATCGTGCATTTTCATTAAGCAGTAATTTACAAATACAGTGTCAAACTGGGACTCAAATGACTGGAGCTGCTTAATTTAGATGTACCTGATGTGTCCAAATAGAGTCCGTGCAGACCGCAGTCCATCAGCAGGAGAGGACAGAGGATCAGCTACAGTCAGCATCCCCAGCACGTTTGATAGGATGACGGCAGCTGCTACAGAGCAGGCCCATCCCTGGACCAATCAACAGCAGCCTGGCTGGGAGAGCACCGTGTTAGCTTACAGGCTACATGAGATTTGATTGAACAAACATAAACTACCACTACTTCTGTTACTACTGCTTCTACCACTATTTATAACCCTTGCTACTGCTGTTTATTGCTTGCACTCAAATCTTGTGCATCCTATACTGCACAGGATACCAGAGGCGTAGATTTCAGGGGGATGCAGGGCACATGTCCCCCTTAATACTTAGAGCATGTGCATTTGCCCCCACCAATAAAAACATGAAAGGAGCACAGAACTTTTGACAAAGTTGAAGACATTTACATTATAAAGTGACACAGACAGGGCACAGATTTAAGCAAAATTACACTTAAGTGTAAGTGCTTTAACATCATTTGTGCCACAACAGTGATGCGTATGGACCTCTGTGCAAGCGCCTCGGTCTTGACCACATCACTGTCCTGCAGCAAATGAAGTTAAAGCACATCCTAGAGTGATACTGCCTATATTATACAACTATTACCAACAAAATAAAAAATAATCAAAATGTATTCATGTTGAGGGGCTCTCAAAATAAAGTTTTTGCGACAGTTGTCTCCATTACGATGGTAATACATAGGGTCTGACTAATAACTGTAAAAGAATCAGTCACATCAGTAATAATAATAGTAATAATAATGAGAAACTTTATTTATATAGCACCTTTCATACAAGAAATGCAGCATAAAGTGCTTTACAATAAGGGCAGTTTAAGCACCGAGTGCATCATATGAAAATAGACATCATAGAATCATAGAATTGTAAAACCATAAGTTATAAAATCAAGTAAAATACAATATTTTAAAGAGTTGCAGCAGCAAGAAGCATAAATGTAAAGTAAAAGCATAAAAAGAAAGAATTTTATACCTGTATGAGTGAAGGCAGAGCTAGTTAAAGGCTAAAGTGAACAGATACATTTTTTAGCTTTCTTTTGAAAATATTCAGCAAGCTGGCTTCCCTGATATCTATAGGTAGTGTGTTCCATAGCTTTGGGGCATAACTGACCAAGGCTGCATCCCCAATCTTCTTCCAGCTATTACTAAGAACCTCCAGTAAACCAGCAGCAGATGATCGCAGTGTTCTTGGGGGCAAATAGTTAACAAGGGAGTTAGCAATGTAGCTTGGTCCTGGCCCATTTAGTGCTTTGTATACAGGAAGAAAGGCCTTACATTCAATTCTAACTGTAACAGGAACAGGCAGCATGGTGGTGTGGCGGTTAGCACTGTCGCCTCACAGCAAGGGGTTTCCTGGTTCAATCCCAGGAGGGAGCCATTAGGCCTGTTTCCACTGCAGGAACTTCGGGGTAATTTTACGTGGCCAGGGCCGTTGGTGCGTGTCTCCACCGCAGGAACCACCCCCGAAGGACAGAGTTCCGGAACTTTTACAGGGGCTAAACAAGTCCCTGCCTCGGGGTAGGTACTCAGAACGGCCCCGAAAGACTTCTGGCTGGGGCTTGGGGATTATTTGGTGCTGATTGGATATACTCAAGGAGGGATGTGACGACAACAGAAAGCAACAAAATAGCCGGCATTTTTTAAAACTCAGCAGATGAGGGTTAGCTCGTTCATATAGCTTCCGCCACCATCTAAAAAAACTCACTAAATGGCCCGTGAAAAAAATGTTTTTTCCAGCGGATATCTTAGTTACAACATGATTGAACTAGCAAAGCAGTTTTGTGTTGCTATGTGTGGTATTTATTCAGTTATGGGAAGTCATGATGTCTAGAAAGCATCACCTAACAGCAGCAGCAAAGCTAACATTAGGACGTCATCTGTTAAAAGCCTCCCGTTGTCGGATACGACATGAAACTACTCCAGTTAGTTCAATCATGTTGTAACTAAGACATCCGCTGGAAAAAATATTTTCTTCACGGGCCATTTAGTGAGTTATTACAGACACTGCTATCGGCTAACGGCGTCCCTATGTCGCCCCGGACAAAATGGTCGTGCAAAGATTACGTCACATCCAGAGCCCGTAACTTTACAGGAACCTTCCTCGTACTCCGCTCTCTCAGTGGAGACACGGCGGTTGAGAGGGCCGAGCGAGAGGACGTTCCTGTAGTAGTTACTGCCCCCCAAATAGTACCAGGAACTTCTTCAGTGGAAACGGGCCTATTCTGTTCGGAGTTTGCATGTTTTCCCCGTGTCAGCATGGGTTCTCTCTGGGTACTCCTGCTTCCTCCCACAGTCCAAAGACATGCAGGTTGGGGATAGGTTGATTGGTGACCCAAAATTGTCCGTAGGTGTGAATGTGAGTGTGAATGGTTGTGTTAGCCCTGTGATAGTCTGGCGACCTGTCCAGGGTGTAACCTGCCTCTCGCCCAATGTCAGCCCAGCTTGTACACATGTACAAACATGTTTCATAAAAACTTGTGCACAGGAAAACTATGGTGGTAAACATGAAAACACAAAAACTCTAAAATGCTAAAACAAATGGCCCTATCTGCAGCCAGTTTTTGGTTTGTCTGTTCTGGGCTACTGTAGGACAACACTGTGGACTCCATGAAAGGGGACCCACTTCATATACAAGGGGAAAAGCCCAATGAGATGTCCATTACCAGTTTGGTAAAGACAGACGTGGAGGCGTGAGCCGGCCGATGTGCAGCGGAGGACAGCTGTCTCCACAAAGGCCTTTAAAAACTGATAATGGACACCTCGCAGGGCTTTATCCCACTTATACCATTGTCACTAAGCAAAGAAATGAAAAGTAAGAATATTTATTCATATTTTAATGCTCTGTGCAATCTAAAATTTTTCACAAACCATAACTCGTTTCTGTGGTAACACCTGAGGGTTTACCTAATGCCTGGAACGGTCATTATAAGTTTCATAAGGTTCTTATGAAATAGAAAAGTTATAAATGATATTCCCTACTCCAGTAAATAGGACAAACCTTAGATATGACTTAGCAGCAGGAGATATTTCCAGGCCACACAGCTCATATAATCCTTTGGCTCAGCTATTAGCCAGAAAGCTAACATTATGCTAGCAAAAGTCAAAGTCAATAACATTGCATATGGTTGACAGTAGATATAAATTGACAGTATTCAGAAAACAAGCCATACAACATGTGTAACATTATTTTTGACTACAGTCTTTAGTAGCAGGTTGCATAATAAAGCACATGTGAAATGACTGTGTAGTACCTGTATCGAAAGCCATTTGGCTCATTACATCTATTTTAACACTTGTATCAATAAGTCAAATTTGTTCATCTTAACTGGTAAAAATTTAACATCTTAACAAGTCAAATGCACATGAAGACAACAGAAAATGCCCAGATAACATGTGAATTTCTGATGTCTTAAGACGTTCAGAGCATTTAAACTAGAGCTGAAACGATTCCTTGAGTAACTCGAAGAATTCAATAACTAAAAAGCGTCAAGACAAATTATTTGCCTGAAGGCTTCGTTGGAGGAAGAGGGACAGGAAAAGAGCGAGGGATAAAAAGAAGAGACATGCCAAGGAAAACAACAGAAAGTGTAGAGTGTGGGATCACACAACAAAATAAAGTTGTTCAGTGTGTATTGCAAAATGGCGTTAGCATACCACAATAGTATGTCTCATATTAGATACAGGTTGATACTATTATGTAGCCAGCACAGTTCTTATTTTCAGGCATTAATAAACTAATGAAAACATGGTTATGAATATTATATACCATTTCTGCCATTAGATGCCTCTAAATAAACACTGGACCTTTAAGTCAGTACTGACTCACAGTTTAATTAATGAATGGTAATTGTAGCAATTCTCTACCTGATTTTGCAGGCAGCCCTCTCCGATATTTTTTCCAAGAGGACAGTGTCCACCAGCCCCAGGACATAATGCTCAAGTCAGTTCTTGAATGCGATTTTTACTAAATTGCAGGCAAGAGCGCTACGCCCCTCTTGTGAACTTATTTTTACCAAGAGGACAGCGTCCACAAGCTCCTGAACATAATGCTCGAATCAATGCCCGGTTAAAATTTTTACTTAATCACCGACAAGAGCGCCATGCCCCCTCTTGTGAATTTGGGCATGTGGCGGGAATGTGAGCACCAGGATGGGGACAACAGTGAAAACCAAAATGTTGAAAACCAACAACAATGACAACCATGACAACATTGAAGAGAGAAATGGCGATATATTTAGATGATGGGATGAGTTCGTTGACAGCAGCTCTGACACCGACAGCAATGCCGACAGCAGCCAAAGTGAGGATTTCGACGAGGACACGGGAAATAGTCAGTGAAACCCACTGAGGTTGTTGAAGAAGACCCTGTGCCTGGATGATCCAGAAAGAGCGCAAGAGAGGAAGATAGAAAACTGAAGAGAGATGGTGGGATGAGTTTGCTTGCAGTAGCTCTGCAGCACCCAACATGAGGATTCCGATGACAAAACAGGAGATAATCCAGTGAAACACACTGAGTGTGCTGAAGAACACCCTGTGTCTAGTCCACCCAGGAAAAGGCTAAGAGAAAGCAATGAAACTGAGATAAGCAGCAAGAAATAACACTGCTGTGATGAGTTTGCCGACAGCAACTCAGACAATGTCACCGTCACAAATGGCCATGATCTTGCTCACGGTAATAGCAGTAATAGCAGTATTGATATGGCTGAAAATGAAGGTGCTGCGGAACAGACAGACAACGAGGAGGAGATGCAGGTGGAAGAGGAGAGGGACCCACTGCCAGGAGGATCAAGAACGAGGTCACAGCAGGACAATGAGGAACAGGAGAGCTGCAAACAATGCAGACACAAGTGATGGAGACTAACACAGACATTAAGACAGTGGCACCTATCAGCTGATCGTCCTGGAGGGGGATCTCTCTTTGAGTGGGCCCTCCTGAGGTTTCTTCCTTAATTTGCCTTATAATGGGAGTTTTTTTCCTTGCTCTCACTGAGGGTCTAAGGTCTGGGTGTCACTTTAATTTAGTTAGTTTTGTTAACTTCATTCACACACACTACCATGAAAAATGTTCCTCAGTGACCTTTTTAGACGTTCTGTGAGAGGACATGAGTTAGATGTGGAAAAAAATCGAACTAAATATCAATACCAATAAATAAATAACAACTGAAT